AATAAATATTTTATAACATATGAAATATTAATTAAATTTTAATATATTTAATTTTTAATTTAAAATATTTAAATTTACTTATTTATTTTAAAATATCTTATAATACATTTTTATACTTTACTTTTATTTTAAAAATATACTTATAATATATATTAAATAAAAAATTTTATTAAAATAATTATTAATTACAAAGAAATATTACATCTTATCAATTAATTAATCTATACCTTTTCACACCTAACCACTCTATTCTAACCAATCAACACCCACCACACCACGTGGGAATTGGTTCCCCCTCTCCCAAATAGAAGACCCCTTCTCCAGAGTCCAGATCCTTTCTTTTTGCAATTCGACAAGATATTTCCTCGTCTTGAATGATTTTCTTTCTTCCTTTTCATTTAGCCATTTACACAACACAACCCTCCAAGTCTAAAAGCCTCTATCTCAGCTCGATAACGGGTTAGTTTGAATCTTAAAGAACAGAGTCAAGGTCATTGGAATGGGTGGATATGGTGATCCAACCAGAAGATAGACTATGTCTTCAAGGTTGAGCTAATAGGTGACTCGGCCATGGGGAAATCGTAGATTCTGGCTTGCTTCGCCTCGAACGAGTTGAATTTGGACTCAAAGGCCACGATTGGAGTCGAGTTCCAGACTCGGACTCTAGTTATCAAGCACGAGAGCATCAAGGCTCAGATCTAAGATACTGCCGGCCAAGAAAGTTTATTTACTACACTTCACCTAGTAATTTTGTTGATGATCTTCTCTGTTGTCGTTGTCAAGCTTTTGATCGGTATATGTTCGTGTATGTGAGTGTTTTTTGTTCTTTTAAACAGTATCAGTTTAATTTTGATGTATCGATCGACACACAAAATATCGACTGGTACACTGAAATTGTACCGAAATTGTACTAAGGAGATGTTTGATTTGAAATTTTGTGAACAACCATAGGATGCTCGGTCTAATTGAAGGATGTTGGTCTAATTAAATAAATTATATATTGATTTGTTGTTGTGGTCAAGTGGTGTTACTATCGCTTAAAAGTATTGTGGGTGGATGCACGGGTAGAATGTTGTTGAAGAGTAAGATGTTAATTTCTAATTCTTAAATTTTAATCATTGTTTTTGTTTAAAAAAAATTATTTGTTTTAAATTATAAATAATAATAATAATTAATTATTATCAATTATTAATTATATTAAAAAAGTCCAAACATTCTATAAGAGTTGGCTACCGCCTCACATGGGCGAAGCACGAAATCATAAGGTGAGCATTGGCTAGAGGAAGTTTGTGATATAGGGTAAGTTTAGAATTATGTTTGGGGATTTTTTTTATAGTCGTATAATATTTTTAAATATATATATGTTTAATAATATTTTTAATATTATAAAATAAAAGAAAAAGTATTAAGATAATAAATAAAAGTGAAAAGTTTTTATTTAATTGTATACTTTTAAATGTACAAATCATACAAACTTGTAGGTTTATACATAAGGTAAGAGACATATAAGAATTATATTAGCTATTGAATAGGACTAAATAAGAGAATGAATGGCACCTTAGTGGAACCATAAATAACAACTTAATGGACCTTTGAATGGCATTTAGTGAATTATGAATGACTCCTTAATGGTGAAGAGTTACAACATGAAATAAGGTGAATGTGAAGGTGAAGCATCCACTAGTAAGAAAATTCACAATACTCCCCCTTGAATGCTCACCCTTTTTGTGTTATATGCTTTTAAATAGCCTCATTAAAAACATTGTTAAGAAAAACCTAGTGAGATAAAGACCACAATGAAGGGAAAAAAATGTGCAGTATGTATAATACTTTCTCTCACTTCAATGAAACTCTTTAAGGCATTGTATACCTATCTTGTGTACAAGTTGTTCAAAAACTTTAGTAGGTAGTGACTTCATAAAAAGATTGCAAGATTCTCATTTGAACTAATTTGCTAAACATCTACTTCACCAACATTTTTAAGTTTCTGATTGGAGAAAAACTTTAGAGAAATATATTTAGTTTTATCTTCTTTGATGAATCTTTCCTTTAGTTGTGCAATGCATGCAGTATTGTTTTTGTATAATAAGGTCGAATATTCTATAATTGCTATAAGACCAGATGCTTCTTGAACATGTAGATCAAAGATCTTAACCAGACACATTTTGGACTTGCTTCATATAAGGCAACCAATTCTGAGTTGTTTGAGGATGTGGTTACAACGATCTATTTTATTAAATGCCAAGAAATTAGGAGACCACCATATGTGAACAAATACCTAGTTTGTAATCTCCTTTTATATGAATTATACAAATATCCAGCATCTACATATCTAATTAACTCTAGTTTTGAGTATTTTGAGTAAAATAATCCCATGTCTTTTGTTCCTTGAAGATAACAAAATAAATGTTTAATGCCATTCCAATGTCTTCATGTTGGTGCAAAACTATATCTTCCTAACAAATTCACAAAAAACATGATATCAAGTCATGCATTTTTAGCTAAATACATTAATGCATCTATGGCACTTAAATATGATACTTCAAGATCAAGGATTTCTTCATTATCTTCACAAGGACTTACCTTTGATATAATGCGTTCAAATTATCTGCTATGAATACTTGATGCTGAAATCTATGTAATTTTGTACAAATAATCTTGATGAAACAATTGTTGAAGAAAATCAAGCATCCTTGTAAGATTGTGCTAAAGTGCTGATAGTCCTTCCTCATCATCTCTATGAGGAATTCAAAGTTGAAGATTTGGCAATTAAAAATCCATTTGAATTATGGCAGAATTTGAAAGAAAGATATGACAACCAAAAATCGATAATATTGCCAAAAGCTTATTATGAATGGATGCATTTGTGGTTGTAAGATTTTAAATTTGTTAATGAATATAACTTTGTAATATTTCACATTTTAACTCAATTAAAATTTTGCGAAGAAAATATTATTGATGAAGACATGTTGGAGAAAATGTTCTCTACTTTTCATACCTTAAATTTACTTTGTCAATAACAATATGAAGGGTGTGACTTTAAAAAATATTTAAATTTGATATCATGTCTTTTTATTGTTGAACAAAAGAATGAACTTTTAATAAAAAAATCATCAATCACGACCTATTAGTTCAGCCCAATTACTCGAGGCAAATGTCACCTCATATAATAATAATAGGCATGGTCGCGATTGTCGCCGTGGTTGTTATCATGACAATAATTGTGGCTGAGAGCATGGCTATGGTTGAAATAATACTTTGCATCATAGTGGTTTTAACCTCAATTATGAATTGCTAAATAAAAGAATGTAACGGATAGAAATTTACAAAAAAACTTTACAAGACATCTTAAAAGTTTTTATTACCGATGTACGCGAAAAGACATTTGGAACATGTTTGTCGCATTGCTAAGCATTTGGTTAATTTTTACCAAACCTCACTTAATAAAAAGGGAAAGGAAAAGATCTAGAAATACATTTCATTGAGCATAACAATATGGATCTTGATATACACCTTGATGTTGCAGATTTTTTTTAAGGTGTCAAAAAGTTTAATGGTGTTAGTAATACCCAACCAAGAGTGTGACTTATTGTGTCCTCTTAAATAATTTTTCCTAAGTGGCTAATTCTATTTTTTTACATTTAATGTCATTTTTATATTCAATAAAAAAATGACTCATTTCAGAATATATATTAAATATTTGTCTCTTTTATTTCATTTGTCTTTATTTAAGACTAAATGGACTTATATGATACAAAAATCATTGATGAAGATCCATGTCTTATTGACAAAGACACAACACATACTATCTTGAAAAATAAGAATTATTTTTTTCAATTGAAGTTAGATAAGGGTAATGTTCATACAATTTCTGATATGGTAAAGTTGATTGAAGGTTCTAAAAAAGTTTGCATTTTATTGCTCACCAATTAACATACGGGGAGACAATCAGCCATATGCCCACCCATTAGTTCCATGTGTGGAAAGATGACTTGGAAAAAAGTAGATCCCAATCTAATTTATATTATCTTATTTTCACCCATTTGATCATGTTTCTCCTTGGTGCATGCTTTATCCTAAGGTGTCTTTTGCTGTCAGCAGTTGGTTTTAGGGCCTGTTTGGTACAGCTTGTTAGAGGTTTTACTTTTAAAGTACTATTCATGAGTGATAAGTTTAAATTTTTATTGGAGGGAAAATTTAAAAGTTGCTTTTAGAGAGAGGAAAAAGTGAGTAAAAAGAAAGTTTATGAAAAACTTAAATTTGAAGTTTTTTATCTTTTACTATTTAGGGTCTTTTTAAAGGTAAAAAAGATTTAAAAATATAAGTTTTTAGGAGGAAAATTTAAATTTATAAGATATGAATAATATCAAAAGCTGAGGTAGCTAGGAAGCTACACCAAACACACCCTTAGTGTCTGCTTCCACTCCCATGTTGAATGAGCACCAAAGATTTGTATACAAAACATAAACATGCTTAATTAGCCGGTGTAAATTGTTCCTTAATATTTTTGAAATAATGTAAATTAGAACTTGGAAAAAAAATTGAAATAAATTACTATCTTAACATTTTATTTTAAAAAATGAACTAGGCGCTATTTTTTGGTATATATCATAATAGATTATATAAAAAATGATAACCTTTCTTTTGTTTTTCAAATCTCTCCCCACCCAACTCAAACTTAATTAGTTGAGTTATCTCCTTAAAAGTTTGTTAGGTCCTAATTTACTTCAACTAAAAATATATTATAGGATGATTTGCACATTTGGCTTGCTTAATTAGCTTTGGATGTTATGAATGTTATTTTTTTCATGGTGAGTAATGAGATTTATTAATAAAATAAAGATTACAATAATAATAATACCTAGAGTAAAGAGCCATTAAAGCTTCAAAAGTTAGACTTGTAGCACTAGCAATAGAATATTTCGATCATAAAACCAGGGAGAAATAAGCATGTTTGAATAGCATCAAATGAATAATAGGGATTCATTTAAAGAAAAAAAATTAAAGAAAAGAAACTTCTTCTCTTCCCTTCTTTTCTTTTTTTTTTTTTTACCAAATAAATGATTTCTCTTCTCCTTTTCTTTTTCTTCATTTTTTCAAAACAAGCATACTCTTAATTAAAAAGAGAGAGCCATCAAAAGATACGTTACAAATGTAGTAAGAACAAGAGATGTATCCAAGTTATTTAACTAAAACTCTAGTTTTGGTCACATAAAATTTTGATACTGCCACGTAAATTACAATATATGCATTTGATTTGATCAATTTTTTGCCTATTTATGTATTTTTTTTAAATAGCTAATTATGATGCCTAATAATATTAGCTTATATGTTAATTTTAGTCTATTAAATGACAAATATTCACTATTACAAAAAAGCTCTAATTTGGTCAAGCATACTAACTGAACAGGGTATATTTTGATTGAAAAACAACTAATCCGGTCAAGCCTCATGACCAAATTGTCGGTCCGAATATGCTTTATAAAAAATAAAATTTCAAAAAGAATATCATCTTGACCGAACTAAAAATTACTTTGGTTAAGATTTCTAGCCAAAAATTTTGTTGAGAAATCAATAAAGAATTCTTATATTTGGACAAATACCTTGACTGAAAATTTAAATATTATTTAATCAACTATTTTGATCAAAATGATTGATCGAACTAAAAAAGGAAGTACAATTTTTGTATAAATTATTTCAATGAAGATATATGATCGAATTAAACGATAATGGTATTTTGGGTAATTTGCACTACATGTTTTCGGTCAATTACCATGATCGAAATAATATTTGTAATAATTTTCACTCAACAATATGTTGGCCAAAATTGCTAATTGAAATAATACAAAGGTGGATAATTTTGTAAATTTGTTGTAAATATTTTTTGTTGAAAAATATGACCGAAATGCTAATAAATTTACATTATCTACCATATTAGTTTTTGTCAGAATGCTTGATCAAAATAATTAGAAACTAAATTTTCAGAAAATAAAAAATGCATTTTATTTTGATCAAAATTATTGATCGA